CCCCATGCCATGACTATGTGACGGTAATGTATGCTGATCTGACAGAACACCAGCCCTCGAGGACCGACTTTGGGCACCCCTGCTTTAGCTCAACAGTATTCAGTTGCACCGCCTTTGCTGGGTTAGCCATCAATGTGCTAGCTTGACGGTTTTCCTCTCTGATATCTTCTAATTGCGTCTCCACTCCCGTTATTTTTGTCTGCAGACTCAATATTGCCTCAAGAATAGTATTGTTGCATACTTGCGTCTCTGTGTTGACTTCTGTTGGGTTGGTTTTCTTACCAGGCGGTTCTTTCCTCGGAGTTGAGGGAGCCGAATCAACATCACGGTCACGCCTCGGTAACGTTTATTTGAGATTCAGCGTAGTCATGTTCCATTGGTCTATGTGTCTGTTGCTGCTTCAAGAGTCCTGGTGTTCGGGATTTTGCATTCTTTGTGAGCTTCTGGGAATCCATCATGAACTTTCGGGTGGAAATATACTACGTGACTTAGTTGGAAAGTTGATCTTATGTGGAGATCTCAGAGACGTAGCTTGTCAGTCCGCCATCTTGGTACCTCCCTATCCTAAGTAGCACTTCAAAAGAGCAGAAGAATCCTTATGTTTTTTGAACGATAACAATATTTGTTATTCAGTTGCTAAGAGATGAACACGTTTTCTGGTAGCAAAGTGCCACAAAGTAAACATCTGACTTTTACGTTTGCAAAATTTACCAACTATATTTCACAAAGCTGAAGTTGGTTTCCAATTCCAGCTTCCAATAGCTAAAGGGCGAATCCACTTAATTTTTCACTACTTTCCGCATCTTTAATCAACTCTAGTTTAAAAACTACTACACCTAGAGACTTGAAACCTGGACTAGATTATTCTGCTCTAATAGCAGAATATTTATCACCATGTTTGGGATTTGTGAAACCTTTTTCTGATTTGTGAAAACTCAATAAAGTTTGATAATCACTATTTTTGGCACCTCTTTCATTACTAGAACTGCTCTAATTAAAAAAACTACAACTCATAGACTCTTCAAACCTGGAATAGATTATTCTCCTCTTCAAACTGAATATTTAAAACCCAAACATGGTTATAAATATCCTACTATTATAGCAGAATAATCTAGTCCAGGTTTGAAGAGTCTAGGTGTTGTAGTTTTTTAATTAGAGCAGAATCTGATGATGTCAAAGTGTTGTGATGTCATAAGAAACAGATGCCTTGAATGTCCTGCATCTGAATCAAATTTGCAAGAAGCTCAAGAAGCAGCACGGACGTTGGTTTTTCCATATCGGATTTAACATTGCATTTGTTTTGTAGCTTTTCTGATACATCGGTTGGAAAGTCAAAATGTCAGAAATTGACCCGGATTCATTAACTAAGTCCCAAATTAGACAAATGACAAGAGATGAGTTGGCTCTTGTGGTTATGGATTTTTTGCAAAGGATTAAAGAAAAATCTGCCTTGCTAATTAAGGAGAACGTACTGCAGGAGGATTTGGAAAAAGCTCATATACAAATTGAGTTTCTAAATGAGAAAATTGATTCACTCACAAAAGAACTACACTGGTCCCTCAAACAAAACAAATACCTGGAAAGTCAGCAAATCCCAAAATTACAACACGAGGTAGAGAACCGGAGTTACCACAGGGCTCAGCTGTTAACTGAGATAAAAGACTACAAAAATAAGATTAAAGAGCTTCAAGCCTCTTTAAAAAACCAGGAGAGGGACTCAAAACTCCAAGTTGAGAAGATTGAGGGAGAAAAACGGCAAATGGTTTCTGAAATGACAGCATACCAAGCAAAGCTTGACAAGCAACAAAATGAAATGAAGAAACTTGAGGTTGAGGTGTCCCGAAAGATCGACGAAATTGGCATAAAGAATAATGAGCTATTGAAAGAAAAAGACAAGACCAAAGTTCTTGAGGCCAGAATAAAAGCTCTGGAAAAGTATTTGAAAGAGGCAGAGAAGGAAAACAAAACTCTTGAGAAGAAAATTCCCTTAACCCCAATGGAGGAAGCCATCGAGAGAACTAAACAAGAGTTTAAAGCAAGGGTGGATTTATCGTCATGCGCACTAACTGTGGAAAAAAAGCGAAATAGGACATTAAAAGAACGTCTGACAAAAAAAGAACAGGAGGTGAGTAAACTCATGGAGGAGCAGGCTGAGACCTCAAAGCTCTTAGCTTTACAGCAAAAGAAAGAGGCTCTGGCTGTGAAGCAAAGTTTAGCCCATACCGAATATGATTGGAGAGACCTGAAGAAAGAAAATAAATGCTTAAATTATCAGATAAAGATACTCTCTGAATCCAGGCAGAGAGATCAACAACAGATTAAAGAAGTCACCAACCAAATACGTAAGGTGACAGAAATGTACATGACCGAGAAGAAACAGCATGAGAATTTGAAGGCAACCATAAAGAGCAAAGGGGCTAAGTTAGAAGATAAAATTGATCAAACCAAAGCTGAAATAGAAATAGATGCTAAACAACTCAAACCGCTACCACCGATGCAGGAAAAAAAAAAACAGCTTCCCAAAACAAAATCGATATGCAATCGAAGAATTCTGGTTCTGCGGGAAGGGAAGATAGAGCCAGCCTTCAATGATGAAAATTTGACAACAGAAGCAAAGCTGAAGCCAACACCCCCCAGCAAGAGGAAGCCTGAAATGCGGCCTTCTACATCGGCAGGCAGGAGGGTTTGTCCCACAGAAACCAAGGGGAGAAAAATGAGCATACCGGAGTGCCACAGTAGATAACGGTATAGGGGTTAAACGCGAGACCTGATTCCCTCTTCACACAGGTTCACCACCTGTGGGAGGGACAAAGGGGTGGGTTACAGTATCAAAAGGATGGCAGCTGAAAGTGGGGGACCTCGGTGATCTGATCCTGAGCTACAGAAGCTCCGGTATCAGAGTCTGGTCCTCATTCCTGGCAGTAACTCGGGCTCGTTTCCAGTGAGAGTTGGACTCCGCCAAGGCTGCTATGTCACTAATTCTGTTCAATACTTTTATTGACAGAATTTTTAGGCACACCCAAGGTGTTGAGGGGATCCGATTTGGTAGCCTTAAGATCGCATCCTCTGCTTTTTGCAGAAGGTGTGGTCCTACTGCCTTCATCTGGTCGTGATCTACAACTCTCATTGGAGCGATTTGCAGCCGAGTGCGAAGCGCCTGGGATGAGGATCAGTGCCTCCAAATCCAAGGCCATGGTCTTGAGCCGAAAAATCTGGTTAGGATGCCTCCTGGACGCCTCCCTGGTGAGGGAGGTATTTCAGGCACGTCCCATCAGAAGATGGCCAAGGGGAAGACCCAGGACACAATGGAGGGACTATGTTTCTCCGCTGATCTGGGAACTCCTGGACCAAATGGCTGGGGAGAGGGAAATCTGGGCCTCCTTACTTAAGCTGCTACCCCTGCGATGCGAAGCGGATGGAGAAGCAGAAGAAAATGGATGGATGGACAGATGGAAGGACGGACGAATAGTTCCAATCATTAGATAATAACGTCTGAAAAGACTTTTTCCAACCATTTGGTAAAAAAAGTGAATTGGTGTCTTTTAAATTTACCTTTGTCTCTAGTCTACAGACTACTACTAGTCTTTGAAGTAGTAGTCTACTTCGAAGTAGTCACCTAGAGTGTGTCTTTAAATGGAGACACTCTAAACTAAATGCATAGGTTTTCTCCGGGTGCTCCGGTTTTTCCTATCATTCGGGGGAAAAATGATTAGGCTAATTGGTGTCTTTTAAATTTACCTTTGTCTCTAGTCTACTACTAGTCTTGTCTTAAAAGTAGCAGTCTACTTCGAAGACTACTACTCTTTGAAGTAGTCTCCTAGAGTGTGTCTTTAAATGGACACACTAAACTAAATGCAAAGCCGGACATTCCGTTTTTCAACTCCACCAACTCAGTTCCGGCGTCTCCAGCGTCCACCTCAGCTCCGTCCACTTCTTCTGCATCTGCTCCAGCTCCGTCCACGTCTTCAGCGTCTACCTCAGCTCCGGCCACTTCTTCTGCATCTGCTCCAGCTCCGTCCACGTCTTCAGCGTCTACCTCAGCTCCGTCCACTTCTTCTGCATCTGCTCCAGCTCCGTCCACGTCTGCAGCGTCTACCTCAGTTCCGTTCACGTCTTCTGCATCTGCTCCAGCTCCGCCCACGTTTCCGGCGTCTACCTCAGTTCCATTCACGTCTTCTGCATCTGCTCCAGCTCCAGCTCCGTCCACGTCTTCAGCGTCTACCTCAGCTCCGGCCACTTCTTCAGCGTCTACCTCAGCCACGCCTCTAGTCACCGTTGCTACAGCCTTTCCGTCGTCTTCGGGACCAGTACCACTTCCAGTCACTGCTGCTGCGGACGTTGCGCCCCTCGCCGCCGCAGCAGACTCTGCGCCTCCCGCTACCACAACAGCCTCTCCTCTTCACGCTGCCAGCCTGCATTCAGTCGCTTTCAGTCCTCACCTCTTGGTGCTCCCTCTGAGTTTCCTAGTGCTCCCTCTGAGTTTCCTAGTGCTCCCCCTGAGTCTCCTAGTGCTCCCCCTGAGTCTCCTAGTGCTTCCCTGAGTTTCCTAGAGCTCCCCTAATTTCCTAGTGCCTCTCTGGGTTTCCTAATGCTCTCTCTGAGTTTCCTAGTACTCCCCTGAGTTTCCTAGTGCTCTCTTTGAGTCTCCTAGTTCTCTCTTTTAGTTTCCTAGTGCCCCTCTGGGTTTCCTAATGCTTTCTCTGACTTTCCTAGTGCTCCCGAGTTTCCTAGTACTCCCCTGAGTGTCCTAGTGCTCTCTTTGAGTCTCCTAGTTCTCTGAGTTTTGTAGTGCTCCCCCTGAGTTTCCCAGTGGTCCCTCTGAGTTTCCCAGTGCTCCCACTGAGTCTCCTAGCACTCCCTCTGATTTTCCACCTCCCAGTGCTCTCTCAGAGAAAACCATCACTCATCTCCTACCTGGGTCTGCTGCGTTCTCTCTCACCACCATCACCCGGATTTCATGACAGACACTCTTTAAACTAAATGCATAGGTTTTTCTCCAGGTGCTCCGGTTTTTCCTTTAGGAAAAAAAGTGATTAGATTAATTAATCTCTTAATCTTACCTCTGTGTCTCACTCACTGACTGTTCACAAAGGATATGAACTTATCTATTTCAGATTCTTAATGTTTTTGTTTTTTTAGCACACACGACTTAAATGGCCTCATACAATGTCTTCCAGCCCTAGTGTTTATTTATTTTCTGTCTCATTACAATGTCCTCCAGCCTTCCATTTCTATTTGAAATAGGCTTCTTCAGGACGCCATTAACTAAACAAAAAAAAAAGTGTGATTATATCACCAAGCTGAACACAGCAACTGCATTTAATCATATTTTCAATTTTACTGTTCTTGTGGAAAATACAGTGGTGAAAATAGAAAAAATAATGTCCAATCAATCAACAAATCAAATTTTATTTGTATAGCACATTTCAGCAGCAAG